AACTTTACTTGAAATAGCCTATTTCAAATTTGAACGTTTACTAGGTTAAAAATAAGTTTCAATTTTGAGCTGAAAATCTGAAACACACATATGTGGTTGAAAATCAACGCCATATCCATATTTTTATCATACTTTACTTCTTTCGACTTCTAATTGCATCCAATGGACCCCGAGTATTCTCGAATTTTCATAGTGAGGTTCGACACAACTTTTGAGCATTTACACTTTAGTCCCCAAACTTTGGATCTTGCCATTTTTTGCTTTTTTTTTTTTTAATTCCACTTCCATTTATTGAGTTTCACCTGACAAATGAAATACACAATAAATTAGGTTATAATTGTATAAAAGAAATATTAAATGTCAATATTTTAGGTTCAAATTAATAAGTGTATAAAATATACACTTATCAACAATTGTAGCATACACGACTACAGCTCGATCTTTTGGTAGCGAAATTGTGCTCCTATCATAGCTATGAAAGTAGGGATTCAAGCGAATAATAATTTTCACTAATTCGAATTCAAGGGTCGATTTAATGCTAGATGTGAGAAGGAATTTCCGTTCCCGAATCATTTCTCATGATCTAATGAAGCCCAAAATAAATTTGACAATTAACTGTCTTATGCAATTATGTAGGGTTTTTGATACCCAATAAATCCCGGGCTATGATGTTAACGTGGGTTAATATTATTTCATACGCATAGGCCGATGAATGAAATAAGTCCAACAACCAAGTCCATGCGCTACACCCGGCCCAATTGTATTCCCTTATGAATGGTTTGAATCATGGCCCGTTTACCCCTTTAATGGTCCAACTTAAAGTCTAACCCTAGAGTATATATATGGCTATAACCCTAGCCACTTTCTAATAATGTATTGTGTGATTTTGAGAGAAGAAAAAGAGAATCCCGGCTACCCCCCTTTATGTGAGAAAAAAGGTCTCTAGAAGTGTCTAGAACGCTTGTAAAACGTGTCCAATTGGTGGTTCCTTCCTAGTATACCTTTGTGGTGTCTTCTCATAGCTTTTGTGGCCACAAATCATCATCTTTTCTTGTCCTACGTGGGTAAGATTGAATAGCAACCGAGGTGAATCAATTGGTTGTGGTTTGGAGCCAATTAAACTGGTTGTTGGTTGAGAAAGGTGCGTTGGACTAAGCTCAAAAATCAACGATTTGAAGATTTTTCAAGAAAGCTTCTACGAAAATTGGTATCAAAGCGTCAACATGGTGGTTTTGGCTCTTGAAATATAGCAAAAAATCGTCCAGAAACCAGCAGAAACGAACCAGAAATCAGATCGAAAAAAAACTGTCAAAATCAGTCTACGTTTTTTGCGTTTTACGATCAATACAGAAGGAGTTTTGGGAAACGGAGACCACTGGCGTGACGTGCAGGTGGAGGCAAACCCTGCAAAGAGGCGCGTATCGGTTGACGGCAGCGCGTGAGGCCCACGCGCAGAGGGAAGAAGCCGCGCGTGAGGGCGCGTGAACTGGAATTTCGAGGAGGTCCCTTCAGGCAGTTTGTTCCTAACATTATTTTTGACATTTTTCGTGTTGAAAGTTTTTTTTAGGGCCTGCAGAAGAATCTGGACAGCATTGTTCTTCGGACATTTGAAACTCGATTGTGATTTTTTGGTTGTTGTAGTTTCCATAGACTGTAGGACGAATAGTGGTGGTTCTAAAGAGATAAATTTGCAACTTTCGTAATTTACAGACTAAGATAGCTCCACTCTGGTATATTGGCTTAACTCAGTTTAAATTTCAGCATTAGCAGATCATCGTGTGGGGTGATCCTTAGGATCGGAGGTTGTCATTGTTTGACAATCATTACTTGTGCTAGAAAATTTAGGAATTTGCTCTATTTTTGAAGAGTTGAACTTTGATTGCAAGTTGGTAGTTGATTTTGTGCTTATCTGTCATATAGTCACTGTGTGAGATTTGTTGCGTGAAAATTTGAGTTTTTTGTTTATATACTTTCGTGTTTGCATTAATTATCCAATTAGAACACCTGGACTTGACCCATTCGAACATTCCTTTGATCTAAGATCGTGAATCTTACGAAATCCTAAGAATCTAGAACAATTTATATTACGACTTTAGGATTACTTTGTGTGACTTATTTGTGAGTTGGTTGTTCTGTTTTTTATTTTCTCCTTAAAAATGTCTCACACTTTGAAGTTGGAATTTTCACTGGGAAAGGGGATTTTACAATTTGGCAACAAAAGATGAAGGGTATTTTGGTCCAACAAAAAGTTTCAAAGGCCATAGATGGCAAATTTCCTACAAATTTAACAGAAGTACGAAAAGAAGAGTATGATGAACTTGTATACACTTCAATTATTTTACACATGTCTAATACTGTTTTAAGAAAAGTAGGAAAACTAGATTCTACAAAATAACTTTGGGAAAAGTTGGAGGACTTATATTTGCTTAAATCAACTCCTAATAAATTGTACTTGTTTGAACGATTTTTCAGCTTCAAAATGGATCATTCAAAGGATCTTGATGACAATCTGGATGTATTTAACAAGTTAGTTCAAGACATCGTTAATTGTGATGAAAAGATATTTGAAACGTATAAGGCTATTATTCTGCTTAATTCCATGCATGATTTATATAGGAAAGTTAAGAATGCAATTAAGTACAGTATGGACACTTTAAAGCTTGAAATTGTCATAAACTCACTTAGGAGTAAGGAGATGGAGATTAAAACTGAAAAAGAGGATAAGAGGAGTGGCGAGTGACAATGATGAGGAGTAGGATGAAATTTAAGTAGATGAATTTGGGTAGAACTCAAGACAGTAGTGATTTGAGTAGTGACTCGAGTGATGAATGTAGTAAGAAGAAAAGTAAGAAATGGGACAAGTCTAGTGGTAAACGGTGTTACAACTGCGGTAAGTCTAGACACTTTATTAGGGATTGTCCCAAGAAGAAAGATAAGCTGAAGGGTAAGATGAGAGGTGAGACGAATTTGATTGAGTGGTCGAGTTATGACCCAGTGAGGTTTATTAAGTGTAAACATAGTCACTGCATATGCATCTGTGTGTTATCATTTTCTGCATGTGTGTGATTGTCTAAATTTTGTTACATGATTATTTGCTATATCTCAATGTATTTGATATGTGCATTTGCATGGATTTGAGACATTATGATTATTTGGTGTAATTGCTTGCATGCATAGTGGGTTAGGATGCATTAACAGTGTGTTGTGTGCCTTTTGGTAAGGTGGAGTATACATGCTTAGGGGTACATGGTGGTTTGTACCGGGGATGTGGAGTTTGCCATTTCGATCACGAGTGGAGATGTGATCAAATGTCTAGAATCCTTTATCTGGAAAGAGACACTGATCAGGTGGAGTGTGACAAAGGCACTTCTATCACTTCTGTTAGGTGGAGACCCATTATCCACGTAGGTTGGGAGAAGTAATGTGGAGATAGATAATTATCCCGTGAACTTATGATCTATTGTGACTTGTCAGTTAGATATGAGTTGAGTGATCTGCCTAGTGAGCTTGGTGGGCGATGAGAGGATATATGTGTTCTCGAGGTGTGAGCAACACGGAATGAGATAGGACAAGTGTGGTGAGATCTTTTCTTAGGGTCATTTATGCATGTGTTACATATGTGGTTGACCGTGGTTTGATTGACTTTGTGTTAATCTATGGTTCTATGTGAACGTGTTTCTGAAAAGATTTGTGTGCGCTATCCTATAGTGTATCGTCATCGCACGTGTACTTGCTCTTGACTGTTTACTGTTAAATATTTGCTTCTACTTTGATTTTTTTTTACCTTAGCCCCAGTGAGTACATGAAGCAGGTATGGTATGTGTTTCAAGTTGGAAACAAGAGGTAAGGTCTGTGATCCAATTTTATTGGTTACCTTGATTATGCAAGTGCTAACTGTGTGTTTTGATTGCTTGCAGATTTATTGGACATCAAGGTGGAGATTTGTTGGGTTTTTGATATCTAATAAATCCAGGACTATGATATTAACGTGAGTTAATACTACTTCATAGGCATAAGCCGATAAATGAAATAAGTCTAACAACCAAATCCATGAGCTACACCCGGCTCAATTGTATTCCCTTATGGATGGCTTGAATTTTGACCCGTTTACCCCTTTAATAGTCCAACTTAAAGTCTAACCGTGGAGTATATATATGACTATAACCCTAGCTACTTTCTAATGATGTATTGTGTGATTTTGAGAAAAGAAAAAGAGAATCCCAGCTGCTCCCCTTTGTGTGAGAAAAAAGTTTCTAGAAGTGTCCAGAACGCTTGTATAACGTGTACAATTGGTAGTTCCTTCATAATATATCTTTGTGGTGTCTTCTCATAGCCTTTGTGGCCACAAATCATCATCTTTTCTTGTCATTCGTGGGTAAGATTGAATAGCAAACGAGGTGAATCAATTGATTGTGGTTTGGAGCCAATTGGACTGATCGTTGGTTGAGAAAAGTGCATTTGACTAAGTTCGAAAATTACTGATTTGAAGATTTTTCAAGAAAGCTTCCGCAACAACTTACTAGATCAATTATAAGGAAAAGGAAATATGTATTGGTTGCAATAATGCAGAAAACTAATTTCTGTTCAAATAATTTTTCAGTGAAAAGGAGAAGATACAAATAGTGGGAGAAACGAGAAAAATTCTGGGAATATATAGATCTACTCATTCCCTTTCAATCGACATATATTTTCACAATTTAAATCAGAAATGTTCCATAATTTGATAGATCTAACGGTTAATTATATGATTGTTCCTGGCAAATATAAACCATTTTGAATTAAATGTGATCTTTTCAATTTCAATCATAATGAAAAAATAAAATCATTAGTCCTAATTGATGGGCAAGCAAAGTTCCAAGTGCTTGTCTGTCAACACACAACAATACGCATGCAGCCTATGCATGAACAAAAAATATAGCATAAAAATTTTTCTTTTAATTTTATAAGGCGTCCAAAATTACCATTTTGTCATACATACAGTGTTCAATATTCCATATCAATTGAGAGAACCAAGATAATTAATTGTAAGCCAAATCTTTATAATTCCACATGTGTAAAAAATACAAATCAGATATAATGTTCCGTCGAGTAGAGAAGAAGAACTGAAAGATTAAATGCCAAATATTTATAAACTTATATCTGCTGGAAAAGTAACTGAACAAACCGCTAACCCCTGCTTACAATCTTCTGTGCGTTCTGATGAAGTTTGTCGTATTCATAGCGATTGCAGTCGAACAAATGTGGATTCCGGCTAAGCACATAGTTGTAGAGAACAAGAGTAGGGCCTTCCACTGTCGTCCTGATACTAGAATAGCCACTGCTGTTGATACAAGAGCAACAATAGAGAAGGCATTTTTCCAAGCTCGAAAAGCTTTAAGAGCATTCCTGCAATCCTTGCAATGAATCAAGTGTCGAAAATATCTGTTAGCGAGATTTGGAGCATGCATATCGCCGATCCCTCCCTTCGCCGGCTGTGAGGCGGAAAGATTGGCAACAAAACCTGCTGGAGCATGCTCGACTACAGCTGGATCTTTCGGTAGTGAAATTGTGCTATGCCCGATGTGATAAGGCATTCCATTCCCGACTCTGTCCATCCACTTCCTGTACTCAACTACCCATGTGTCTGATGACTTCAAATTGATGTACAGTTCTCTTGTGGGAACTTTTTCTTTCATAAGAATTTCATTCTGGGACGAAAGGAATCCCATATCTTGCTCAAAAACTTTACTCGCATTCTGATGGAAGTACCACTGTGGAATGATTTTCAACAGCCCTGGTGTTTTTCTAGTACTCCCGAACCTCACAATAAGCATGGATTTTCCTTGGCCGGACGGCCTACAAAGGAACAGACCAGAAAAGTAGTCTTTATTGTTATTCTTGTCAATGATTTCCCTACTGTTATGAAGTACACATGGCGCTTCAAAACGTAAAAAGTTTGGTATGTAGTTTGGCGTCAACCGATCTTTTTCTCGACCCCACCAACCTGCAAAGCCTCGAGCTGTTCTTTCAGTCACTTCGAAAAATAGTGGTGCCGCATCTTCTCTTTTTGCAGTGAAATCAGTTCTATCGTGTGAGATAGGAACATGTGCAGGATCCATGAGGTTTTCTAAAAGAATAGAGTGATCATATGGGAGTTCATGGATTGTTGAAATATCTCGAAACCCCGGCCTCGCGAAGTTTTCAAACCAAGGTAGTTTCTTAGCGTTTGATGGCGTCTTGTGAGACATCCATATCCACATAACTCCTTGAGAATCCCTCACTTCATATGGTTTTAAACAAGCTGATTGTGGAATTTTTGCACCTTTCGGGAGCTGTCCCAAAAATCATGAGGAAAAAATATCGTTAAATTTATCCAGTATGAAATGATGAATGTCACAAGGAAGATGCATTAAATTCAGACCTGAGGGATTGTCACACATTTACCACTGCCTTCATATTGCCAACCATGGTACAGACATTCCAGTCTCCCATCAAACAATTGACCTTCAGAAAGTTTTGCCAACCTATATTTGGAAATATATACAGAATATCATCAAATATTTTCCATTAGGTCGAAGAACTCCAATAAACACTGTAACTCAGATACGTATAGTTTCAAGGAGCAACAAGAAAGAGTTCATTTCTGATTGTAAAGGTTAAAATGTCAAATCTGAAGTACCATGAACTATAAAGCAGGCAAACATTTCTGCTATTAATAGATGAAGTCTTCCTGTCAAATGACTGATTATTTTTCCAGAAATATGTGCATCCTCTCCTTAATTTTCCCACAAGTCTTCAAAGATGCAATCTCATCTCACTAAACCTTTTTTGAGTTTAAGTTGGTCGCTCAACTTGTGCAATTGCCTCAAGTTGGTCGCTCGATTCATAAAAATAACTGGAAAAGTCCTATGGGATGTTAAATACTAACCGAATGCTGATTCGCGTCTGGCATGACAAAATATGTGGTCGATTGTTCACTCAACTTCCACGAATCCAATGGAACTATCATTACATGCCTAAATTGTTTAATCCACTTTTCATTTTTCCGAAATCCATCAGTCAACTAAAGCAGGATAATTGGCTTGGAGTTTGATGCCAAAACATATAGTATTAACTAGGATTCAATTTTAAGAATTAAGACATACAAAATGTGATTCTAATTAGGAGCCTTACAAATACTAAAAAAGATCACAAGAATTATTAAAAAAAAGGAAAAGTTCCCATATTATTTAAGATTCCTCACTTTGATTTCTTGAATTAACTATGATTAACAAACTCAAATTCAAAAATACAAGTTTTCAGACAACATTAACTACGAAAGAGGTTAGAGGCACAAACAAATTTAAGGGTAAATTCCAAATAAGACAGATATAAGAATCTAAACAGGGCTACCTGTGAGCACATCGATCTTCAAAACATCGAATCTCTCCATTGCCATCACGATAAAGAACAACCTGCTTGTCAAACACAGTAAGACCCAATGGAGCATCATCTGGTATATTCTTGGTGAGATAAAGAGGGTACCATTCTTCTGTCCAATCATATTCCGCCACTTCATCTTGACTAGATGGGCTCAAAATCACACCCTCACCTTGATCATCATCTGATGATGCAGATGATGATAGCCCACCGACAATCTCCTCTGCAACTGCATGGCACTTTTTCCAGTGCTTCCTCACTGAAAAATAACTCTTTTTATGATTATGTTTTAGTGATCGGGACACTAAATCCTTTGATGTTGTGGGTAATTGATTTGTTACTTTTGGAGTGGTGGATGTAGGTGAGAAGTTGAGGATCTTGGGCAGAGATTTCTCACAGAAAAATGGCTGTAATAAGGCCATGTCTGAAGAAGCAAATAAAAATGGAATCAAAGAAGAAAATTGGATAGTTCAAGAATGTGACGGGCGTTGTTGCTTGTTGGGGAGGTGTACTGATTGTAGCCACACAATGCAAACTAGACTACAAACTGCAAATGAAAATTTCTATAGAAGCCCTCATCTGGTTATTATTATTGGAAGATGATAGAATTTAATTGTCTAATTTCATTGTTTCACGTCATAAATTGGGAAATGGGTTAATTTCACAAACGATCACTGAACTTACAGAAAAATTACAAAACGATCACTGAAGTTTAAAACTTTCAGTAACGGTCACTTAAGTATTGGGACACTTTAAAAGATGTTCACTGAAATTTAAAAAGCTTCTGAAACGGTCACTGAAATTGAAAAATATTTTTTTAGTTTTTTTTGTTACATTTGCGTCAATTTTTCGGCTACTTCCAACCACCGATACCATCGAATTTTGATACCGTTGAAAAGCCCACAACATCCTCTTCAATTACCACTCAAAATCTCTTCGTAACACCAAGGAATTCGACCGGAAAATCACCGCAAAAGTCGTCCCAAAAAATTTGAAAATTTGCCCAGATTTTCAGATTTTTGGGCGACTTTTACGGCAATTTTCCAGCGACTTTCGACCACCATGACCACCGGATTTTGATACAGTTGGAAAGCCCACAATGTCCTCTTCAATTACCATCCAAAATCTCCCCCAATCTCCAAAAGATTCGGTCGGAATAAATCCGTAAAATCTGCATCTCAAAAAAGCGAAAATCTGGGATGCCAATTTTGTGAGTTTATTTCAGCCGAATCCTTTAGAGTTTTGGGGAGATTTTGGATGATAATTAAAGAGGATATTGTGGACTTTTCAACGGTATCAAAATTTGGCTATTTTGGTGGTCGGAAGTTGTCAAAAAATCACCGCAAAAGTTCACTAAAAATCTGAAAATTTGGGCAGATTTTTGCCTTTTCGGATAGCCAACTTTGTGGGTTAATTCCGGCCGAATCTTTTGAAGTTTGGGGGAGATTTTTTGTTGTAATTGAAGAGGACATTGTAGGCTTTCCAATGGTATCAAAATCCAGTGGTATCGGTGGTCGAAATTGGTTGAAAAATTGCCGCTAAAGTAGCTCAAAAATTTTTAAATTTCAGTGACCATTTTTGAAAGCGTCCCAATATTTAAGTGACCGTTACTAAAAATTTTAAACTTCAGTGACTGTTTTGTAATTTTTCTGTAAGTTCAGTGACCTTTTGTGAAATTAACCCATTGGGAAATACATGAAAATAGCCTAAAGAAAAGGCTACTTCTCCATTTTAGCCTTTAACTAATTCAAGTGCCTAAAATACCATTGTATAAATATTATACTTAAGTCTTTATTTTATAGAAACTTTCCATTTAAGTCCTTAAAAATTTTAAAAAATTTAGCCTCTAATTGAAGAGTTAAAGTTTTTAGTAGATTTTTAGATTTATTTGATTTTCTTCGTTCAAAGTAACACTTCCTGATTGGTATCAGAGTCATAGAGATCATGGAAATTAAAATAAGTAAAATAAATAATTATTGACATTTAAAAGAAGAAAAAGGAAGTTATATATTCTTAGAACATATTCCTAATAAATTAAAAATAATGACATTAACAATAGTTAAAGAATTACCCAAAGAAATAAAAGAACAAATATTAGAAAAATTAATAATATGATATATATATATATATATTGAAAAAATTATTAAAGTGTATGAAGATGAAGAAATTAATATATATTATAAAGAAAAGTATGAGTGTAAATGATAATACAGATTTAAAATTGAATAAATTAATTGCAAATATTAATAAGATACAAGAAAAAATACAAGATATACCATTATGACCAGATCAAATAAAAGAAAAGGAAAAACAGTTAATAAAATGAAAGTGTGAAAAATTAAGACTACGGATTAAATGCTTTAAGATAATAAAAGAAGAACTGGTAAATATAGAATTTGCTAAAGAAAGTTTTGAAAAAATAATAGAAGAAAAAGAAAATAAAAGATGTAAATTAATTTATATGTTAGAAAGATGATTAAGAAAAAATTAAGATGTTAATAAGTGAATATATGGAAGAATTAAAATCATTAATAAAAATATTGATAAATGATGTTCAAGATTTAAGAAACGAGGTAAAAGAAACAAGAAATGATATAAATATATTAAAAATTGAAATTAGAGAATTAAAAGAAAATAATAAAAATAAAGAAAAGAAAATAGATAAAAAAAATTTATAGAGAAAGAAATAACCAGAATATGAAAGAAACATATTGAAAAAGAAAATATAGTAATAGAAATATGGAGTGTGGATGATGAATTTAGAAAAAACATATTACCTAAAATATTATAAGAAGAAGAATCTAGAGAAAAAATATTAAGAAAATTAAAAATAGAAGAAAATCAAGAAAATAAAGATGAATGAGGAATTATTAGATTTACTTATAGAAAACTTTGATCAATTATGTTTAAGTGATATAAGTGAATATCAAGTTTTAATGAATACTAGAGGAGAATCTAATCCAATAAGAACTTGTAAACAAGAATTACAAGAATCAGATGAAAGTTATGCACATATATATAATAAACCATATAGACAATTTTATGATAAAGTAAGAGATAGACAACCATTTAAATGAAATAAATATATAGATAGATTTGAATTAAATTATAATTATGATGAACCTATTAACCATGGAGGAACAAAATTAGATTTAAATTGTAAATAGATACTAAAAAAGTCTTATTAATTTGGGCAGATTCAATGATATTATTCTTTTTATATAATAAAGATGACACATAGAAAAGTACTGAAAGAATGATAGATTTCTTAATAACATCCTTTGAAGGAGATGCTAGAAATTGGTGGGAAGGAATAAGTAATGATACAAAAACATTAATAAAAAGAAATGTATAAACAGAAATAATAAAATCAAATATACAAGATATAAAAAAATTAGATAGACAATGTATAATAAAATCTTTATTCTTATAGATTCTTGAAAAATCTAATAGAAAATTTCTTTCTTATTTTAGCAAAAAGAGGGATTTTCTTTAATCAAAATCAAGAGATTTATTTTTTGAACTTGATACAGTGAGAGCAAGAAACTGAAATAGTAAAAATTCCTTGAAAGCAAGAGGCCGATGAAGGAAGCAGTTTACATATTCAGAGCTCGATGGTCACTCGGTTCTAAAAATAAAGATACAGATCATAACTAATGTAAGACTATTAATTTTTGCTAAAATTTGAACAAATCTTTTTTAGATCTTAGAGAATCAAAGGGATTAATTGTTTAATTTGATGATTATTTGTATAATCGAATGTTAGGATATACAATTAAATGATTAGATAATCTATTAGAAAGAATGTTAAAAGAAATTAAAAAAAATATTATTTCTCAAATTTATCATCTGAAGAATATAATATATTAAATAAAAAATATGAACAATATGTTGCAGATTATTCTAATTTATTAGATCATAGAATGAATTTATATTCAAAAATTCAAAATAGAATATAGTTCAAAAAGATTGGGATATATTGTGCAATAAAATAAAGATACAGATCATAACTAATGTAAGACTATTAATTTTTGCTAAAATTTGAACAAATCTTTTTTAGATCTTAGAGAATCAAAGGGATTAATTGTTTAATTTGATGATTATTTGTATAATCGAATGTCAGGATATACAATTAAATGATTAGATAATCTATTAGAAAGAATGTTAAAAGAAATTAAAAAAAATATTATTTCTCAAATTTATCATCTGAAGAATATAATATATTATATAAAATATATAAACAATATGTTGCAGATTATTCCAATTTATTAGATCATAGAATGGATTTATATTCAAAAATTCAAAATAGAATATAGTTCAAAAAGATTGGGATATATTGTGCAATATAGGAAGAATTATTTCATTAAGGGTAATACAGACTTTTTAATGAAAATAAATAATAATAGGCCAATTAGAAAAATCTCCCCAATAAATTTGAGGTTACACATATTAGGTCACAAAATTAAATAATTTTCCACAAATTGAATATACACTCAAAAATTAACTAGGTATAAAATACTTGTACCGTTGCCAAGTTGCAAGGAGTCACGTACCACGTTATAGAGATTACAACATACTTTAACCGTTTCGTCAACATACTTCAATGGCTAGCCTCAATTTCAGAGTTCAATTCCGATGCAGTCAATAAACATGTTATTAAAAGAAATTAACTAATTTGCAATAATGTCTTGATGCATTTATATAATAGGTCTCCTTTAATTTAGCAAACTTACCAAATCGATTAGAATAATATTATTCATAGTGATGATTATCGGTAGTCTATCACGTAGTGCGACTACCAGTATTCTTTACTATGAATAGCATTACTCAATCGACTGTATAAGAAAATCTTCTAAAATTATTTGTTCAAATTGTAGAGTGGCCATATTTTTGCAATTTTCAGAAAGGATTGTTATTTTCTCAAAAGTTAACTTTAATGTCAGGGAGTTATCAATTATTCACATTTAAATATCAATTGTTCGATCATTTGGAAGGTCTAACATCTGAATTTATACATGTGCGTTTATCAAAAATTATAATTCATTATAAGTAACGAGTTCTAAGGAATTTGTGGTCAGAGAAAAATAAATAAAAATTGTGTAACTTACTAAATGTGTGGATGAAATAAAGTTTGATCAAATTATATGTAATTATAAATTTTGACAAACATGATCGCGAATGTTGGTGGTATATCTTCAAATAATACAAGAGAATGGAGTAGAAAATGAAGTTGGAAGATGTAGAAAATTCGAACTATGTCAAACTCGACTTCAAGACACGTGATAGTGATTTCTTAAAACGTTATTTGCCCTTACCAATATTGTGGTGTACACAAGAACACAAATACTCTTCTCGGGATACAATGTAGTCTAGTGTTTGTATTGTGAATCTACGAAAATAACTCAAACACTAAGGGCCCGTTTGGTTTCCGTTTCGGTTTCTAGTTTTGAGGTCATTTTCCATTTTTCGTTTTTGAGTGTTTGCTTCAAATTATTAGAAAACATGTTTGGATTGTTATTTTGAAAAATTATTTGTCAAAACTAAAAGCTAGAAAAT